GCGATAAGATCTAGTGTCGCATCGTTTTCAAATTTGTTATTGCAATTAATTTCGACGCGAAAATTTAATATCACTAGAGAGAGGCAATTAAAAATGGATTACGTAAAAATTAAAGTGGCCGTTTTAAGTTGGAATCGAATGAAGTGGGATTAAACCACTTGTCCAGTGGGGATTATTGGGCAACGTAGTGATAATGAAATTTACCCGGAGAAAATTGTGGGAGCCTAGTTTGAGCCTTTTCCGGATAATTCTGATTGTGTTTGAGTGTTATATCTGTTTCTGATATCTCTATCTCGATCTTTGGATTATCGGGAGCACGATTCTTAATTAACGCTTATTTCAAAGTTTAGATTAAAGATTTGGGGAAATCTGAAAGAACAGATCAACTTCGTAGCACCTAAAACTTAAAATATTATCTTTTAAAGACGAATGTAACCAATAAACACCACGCTGATTTACCCAGCCGTTCTCGGGTTACAAGTGTTTAAATAAACACTTTGGTAGGTATATAAAAACTATTTTTTCCCGTTCATGATGTATTTGTTTGTTGCATTAGTTAGTCATGTTGCGGTTTATTACACTTTTAAATTCCTTGGCAAAACCTTGTCCCTGTCCCTTAGGCATTCGTTACTAAAGCCTGTCGTTACGTCGCTGTTGGCAATTGTAATTCGATTAGGACGCACTGGACGATCCCTTACGTACTTAACAAGATGGAACAACCTCACATAGGATTGTCCGAAAATGGTACAGTGTTGTAAATGTTATCGCAATGTTGATTTCGCAAGTTGTATTGTTATGAGTTGCGAAAGGTACACTTGATACATGAAATTGGGGTTCCTATTTTGACATTAACAAGGTAATATAAAAGAGGTGTATTTTATATTATAATTAATATAACGCGAAATATTTTGATTTCTCTTGTAATGCCTAAACCAAATTTGAAAGTTTATTCACAAAATGACTAGTTTAAATAAGATACTCTAACAGTTTAAAACGTGATATATTTCAATTAAACCTGTTTGAAATTTGACAAAATGACTAGTGTTAACGAGATGACTTACAAATAAACAGGTGCGCTATATAGCTGTAATAAATCTTTATTTTATTTATAATTAAACATTGATCAGTACTGTAGTAGTTCTGAGTGATCCATCTCTTTTAAAAAATAACTATTACGTAAAGTTAGTTTAACGGACTCGTTGGTATATAGTAGAAATAAAACACGTTGTGATTTCGACCCCCACGGGTCAAAATTTTTCTAATTACTTTGTAACTTCCGACTTCTGTAAATCTGGATATTAAGTAGGATATTCCATCCTCATCCCGAATCATCACAGATGTCCACTGATATCGCGATTACACTTTACAGTTTTTTGTAAACTGTAATCGCGTTTCAGTTTCACGTCTGTGGATAATATCCAAAAACAAAACAGCGCATCTTGTTTGAATGCTATATGCATTGGGTATTTCATCATCGAGTGGACCCCATTCTCATGTCTCTATCATAAAAAAACAATCTATAATAGGGGTGTACCTTTTCTTACGCTAAGATTATACGTGATGCGTACCGCAGTCACGTGAACACACATTCTGCTATTATTTTTCACGTCCGCATCCGTAGAACGCCGGTGATTATTTTTAATTCCAAACGTTTCGTCCTCGCCAAGCACACAGTACAAACTGTTTTGTGGACTTTTTTAATGAACACCGCCAACGTTACGACTTTGACGTTTACTTTGCCATTACACTGCAGCTATCACGGGATGTTACTGCCACTAGAGCACTCAGAGAAATAAAAGTGTGTTTTTATTATTTCTCTATTTATCAGACCTGTCACCGAGTTGATGCGTTTTGGATATCCATGATTTATATTCGAAAAAGATGTACAAAAACCAAAGTAACAGGTCTCAATTCCCACACCTTGGACTCCAGTCTTTTAAACCCACCATGTGGTCTTTTATGAGCAAAAAATTAAAAAAAAACTTTAAGGTTTAAAACCGATATATTAGTTTAACTTATTTGAAAGGTCCCCCGTGACCACGGCTGATGCAAAGCATCCGAAACGTCGGGCCGAAGTTAAAAATCATTTTCAAATAAGTTTAACTAATATATCGCGTTTTAAACCGTTAAAGTGTTTTATTTAAATGTGTACTACTCGCGTAAACTATGACAGTATTTGAGCAAAAGAATCCAAACGTCGGGTCATCGTTAAAAATTACTAATTTTTGTGTCAGGAGGACAAGCATAGGAGTCACTTTATGTATACATATGTAGATGAAACACCCCAGAATTACCCACCACGATGCGCTGTCGACGACCTATTTTGGCTTTGGATATTTAAATTTCACAGACTGAAACCGGAACGCGTATAATCACTTAAATCGCGTTTGATTTTGGTCTTTTTCATCTGTGACCCGGGCAGATTTTCAATACTTCTACTACCCATAATATCCAAATGATATAATATAAATACATTAGAAAAATGTTAGACTCGGTGGAGATCGAATTCAAGACCAATAATCAAAGGATTTGAACCATACAGTACATTGCTATTAAAACACGAACGAGCTCGTCAAACTAATATAGTTTCGCTTTAACATGTCATATCTAATCAACTTGAGACTTAGTCCAAGATATAATATTTAAATTACGCCCTCTATTACATACGAGCCATATTTAAATAAGTTTAAAACAGGAACAATGGATTTATGGCGTAAACTTACGATATTGTGCGATGTAACTTCTACAAAGGCATCGCGTAAACTTTCTTAACATTTTGTCATTGTGTATCGAACATTAATTTTAATCTTAATATTAATACGTAGAGTAGAAACTTGGTGTCTGCTGTTTTACGAAAATATCACGATAGGCAGTTTAAAATTGTGCACTTTTATTGTTTATGTAGTATGCTTTTGTTGTATTATACAAAAAATAAATCAATAATTCAATATGAACTCTGTGGATGCCGGTTCAAGTCCCGCCCCTGTCGTAAATTGTTTTCAATCTTAAATCGAGTTTTAATTTATATTATAATATAAATTAAAAATCGATTCAAGAGATTTGAAAACTCAACCATCATATATCGTGTTAAAACAATGTCTTCAAGAATTATTTTTCTGTTCTATAAACCTTTAAAAAAGTTTATTTATAATAATATGTTATTGATTGCTCAAACCGTATTACAGAATGTATTTTTAATTATTAATAATCCAATTTATATAAATATAATGTCTTTTATCGGTTTTATTAAAGAAAAGACGTAATTGTGTTCCTCGGAAAAAACAAGATATTTTATTTACAACAATTCTCGAAAGTTATACATTATTTAATATAAAACAATACTCACCTGAAAAAACAAAAAACAACATTTAATACCCTTTCTTCAGGTATGAATGAATATTATTGTGTTTATACTGTATTTTTATCTCTCACAAAGTAACACAAGTTTTGCCAATTTAAACAAAATATGTTATCCGTCATTAGATGTCAGATGTCATCTATTGACATTGCGTTGTCAGATATTTATTATTGATTATCGTTTAAAAAATCTATGGCTAACGCGGCAAATTTAAACTGAAGGAAATCTACTCTACTATTACTACAGGGCAGTGGTTTTCCTTTACATAAATAATAATAAGTATTAAGTAACATCAACCAACGTGCTTTTGACAAGCAGTAAATTAAGATTTTAATTTAAACCTGAGCCTAAGCTACAGGAAACGCTGATGGCGGGTGCCCACTAAACTATGTACGTCCTAAAATAATCTCGTATCCCTGTATCCAATATGACTGATACAAGTTTGAAGTTTTATACGCTTTGTGCGCCAAGTTCATATTGCATCCGTCTGCGTCTTTAAACTTTTATTGCACCAAAATAGGTGCTCACATACAACCTCGACAGGCTTCATAGCTCTTCGTAAGACCAAAACGAATCCACATACCGGCCGCCGAAACTATTTCGAAATGGAACAACGTTAGGTACATACTTTGCATGAAAATACCGAAATGTCAACGTGTACAAATAACTTATTCCTCCCGTCAAGAGTTTTCGTTTTCCCCTTTACGAAAAGTTATGACACAAATATGAAAACATTAAAATTGAATCGCCGCCAAATATTATAAGATGGACGGAATCCCTACATATCAGTTGGTGGCCTATTTGAATCTTGATTTATGCAGGTTGGAAATTTATAATACGACAAGCTTAAGACGTCATTGCACTTAAGATGACAAACAAACTTCAGAAGCGATGTCAGGTTTATCTTTAACAGTTATATGTGTATAGTTGTGCATAATTCTCTTTAGCTATACGTTAGTTATACATCTTAAGGCAAATGGTATAGTTATAATTAAATGAACAAATATAAAAATGATACAACTCATTGCATGTAAGATTAATAAAATATTAAAATTAACTAAAGTACCTTAAACCATATTATTATATTAATGTTAATTAACTTTAACTTTTCAAGGCTAAATACGCAATACAATTTTATTTAAATTAGTTTGATGCAAAAAATGGTAACGTCTATAAAATAATGATTGGGTGATTATAAAAGCTTTAGATAAAGTACATTTTATGCGTCTTGCAAATGAATTTCTCAGTTACAACATAATTAGTACGTTGTCAATGTCTCATTTTTTTAATGAATGCTAAAAAGGCCTTTCCTTAAAATATTTGTGTAATTAATAGTATTGAAAGGTATTTAAAACATCTCGCCGTAGATTGCAGCTACGAAACGCCTACGAAAATTCAAGGCTTCAAATGAAGTGCTTGTTAGTAGTTAATTAATTGTCTGTCTGTCTCGAATAATTATGATTCCGCAGTTAAATGTTAGTTTGAAACGAATAGGGGCCGTCGTGATCCTTGCTAAAGAGTATCATTAGCTATCGACTAATTTCGATAAATCGATGCTAATCAGAGGTGAGAGTTCGACAGCCGTTGCCATCGCAAGAATATTTCAGAGCAGCCGCGGTGATAAATCAAACTCGAAACCGTAATGAAAGCGAACGGATCGCGTCGCGAGGAGAGGGAGGAAAAAATATCACGGAAAAAATCAGGTGCGTCCCCCGGTCGCTGCTGAGAGAAAAACAGTCGGGCGTCGCGGCGCTGGGCTGGGGTAGGGCTGGCAGACGGCGAAAGCGGGAAACTTTACGCAATTTCACCGCGTGATGCTCACGAATTTATATTAATACTAAGAGATTTTACATACTTATACATACATTATTTTGACGACATTTTATATACAAACATAACTTCGGTATGTAGACAAATTTGACGCGTTTTATTTATGTTATTTACAGGCTATAACAGAATACGTAAATTGGAGGAAAATTGATAAAAACAGATATGTAGCAGAGTGTTTTTGTTACAAGATTAAAATATCGCCTAGTCAATTTCCTTGTACACAGAAATGCCCATGAAATGAAGAGCACTTATCTGACAACCCTAGTGGGGGTGGCGGTGCGGTGGGGTGGGGGTGGCGGTCGATGCGGGGCGGGCCGTGCGCGCGCTGGCCCCGCGTGTGGGGCGCAATGTGGCCAAAGCAGCGCTTTCGGCGCTGCAAGCAAGCTTTTTTCAGGCTGAAGCCGATTTTGACATCTAGCGCTGTATCCAACGCTTTAAGGTGTCGCAGCGACTGACGCGGAATTTTCTATGAAAATTTAAACGCAGAACTACAAGGCATCGGTATGTTATATATTGAATGCGTCGCTATACGACTGTTACAAGTTTTTAGGATCATTTGATATAGTTACACGAATGTAAGGATATCGTGGTACACGTAGCGCTTCTTGTAGGGGAAATTGTCGGAGCGCTTTCCCAAGTGACAGCGCGATTTCCCCTTTAAGCGTTGGCAGCTCTGGTGGGGACTCGTAGCTCGCGCTCACTCGGCCGCGCCGCTCCTCTCGCGCCGACGCCGGCCGCGCCGCGCGTTTCGTCACGTGTACCCGACTTTACATGTCCAAAGTGCTTAAGTCAGTGCTCCCGATCGCAACCGCGCGAGTGCTCCAGCCGATCTCCGAGCCTGACCCGACCCGCACGCCGCTCAGGGTTAGTAGCGTCCTCCGCGTTCAGCGTTTCAGTGATCGATAGCGCGCGTTAAAAGTTTATTTCGGGAGCGCAAAGTTTTTGGAGTGGAGTGCGCGAATGCACTTCTCAGGGTCCCGTTTGGTCGCCGACGGGCGCGCGGCGCCGTTGTGTCGCAACACTCTCGGCTCTCGATAAAAACAAACAGATTAATCGTCCTCCCGTGCAGAATCCGATCGCTAATTCCGATCCCCGATCGCCACCGGGAAACGGCCGTAAAGTTCTCTTGTAATTTACCAAATTCGCGATAAGATAAGTCACAACATAAATAGCTCGGAATAAAATTGTAGGATCGCATGTACCGGTGATATTAACTGTGAACGGTTCGAGTTTACCTACTTTTTCTTGTGTACGCCGGTAGGCTGTTTTATGGGAAACTAAATTGGGAAAATACGAGTCTAAATTAACACATTTCGCTCAGTATGAACGAGCTCACATCGAGGTGACATATTATTATTACGTACTTACTTTTGTTTTATTTTATGCGCCTCATTGGTTTTATTTGCAGTGCAATGGTGAAATGAACGTGGAACTAACACAATTTATAGAATTGTTTAGCGTGTAGATTTAATTTAGTTGAGACGTAGCGTGCATTTTAGAACGTTAAAAATAAAAGACGTGATACTCACCTCGCCGTATTTACGATAGGGATTTGATAAAAGCGATATTACGGTCCGAAATTAATTTCAATGTTAATTTATTGCTTCTCATTGAGCTAAAAATATCACCTGTAGCTGCTCGCTGCATCGCTTTTGTGTTACTCGTTCATACTGGCGGATGCAACGACGCAACTGCATTGTTTAAAAACGCGCCAACGATCTGTCATGTATACATAGCACTATACCTGTTATTAATGTGAGTGAGATTCGTGACACGATTCTGTGAAATAATTTATCAGTGATCTATTTCAGAATTTGAAAAGGTTTCCCAAACAAATAATCGTAGACACTTTTACCCACCACTTGTGTTTCCCAATTAAAATCTCACCATGACTGGTGTGGTAAGTCGAACTTACTTTTTTTTTTCATATATTTGTCATATCATTGTTGAGCACGTTTGCGCGTGTTTTGATTTTTTTAACGAAATCCGTTCCCGAAATGATTGTTTGTACAAATTGGCCTAAAATTCTGTCGTTTGTAACATCGAAGCATCGTTCATGTTACCGCTTAATACATGTTTTGCGTGACTTCTCATAAAAAAACTCAATCATAAAACTCACAGTGTATTGTCTACAATTCCATTGTCAGCGGTTGCATGAAAAATAGTTTTTGTAAGTTTATTTACGACGACTGTACGTTGAGCTTACTACTTGACATCTGAATACAACTTGGTTTCAATTAACTGCAAGCAAATGCACAAACCAATTTATTATCGCCAACTTAATTTGAAACTACTCTTTTAATTAACAAATGAAAACATACGATTATTAATACTGCATCTTAGAAAAAGTTAGACATTAGAATCATAAATACATATATAGGTTATAGCCTAGAATAGGAGCACAATAAAATTAGAAAGAGACACATTACAATTAGTTTTAGACATTTGACTGCAAGCATGAATTAATTCATAATGTATATTATTTAGAACAGTAAGCGAATTATGAAAATAATCTTATGGAAATATACTTGTCCGTTTTTGATTATTTTTAAATGTAAAGTCTCGTCATTGGTTATAAAAAAATATACAACAATTAACACAATAAAACTTCAGTATTTAAATAGCATTTATCAGGAAAAAAAGAAAACAAACATTACTGTTTAATATTACGAAAAAAGTATTTAAATCTTTTGTGTGTGTGCGATGAAAAAAGCGGGATAATAAAGTTGAATCGACTTTTGATTTTGTATTAAAATCTAGCACAGTTCTACCTGTTGATCGAATCAAGCGACTCATTTAGAAGTTTTCTCGTACGAGATCGCTATGAAAATGTTATGATGGATTTGTAAGAAAATGTTGTATTTTATTAAGAAAACTTCAAATAAAATTTCGAGTTATAAAGCTGAAATAAGTCGACAACGCAACATCAGATGTTTTACTTTACCTTCTGAGTGTGTCTGTCTCTCTCTAAAATAATAAAAAAATAACATAAAAACGTGTAACTTATGAGCGTCTTATTTCGACCGGGCTATGTTAGTCAAATGACAGCAGTGTTAACCAGCCATTCGTTGGTTCGATTACTATCGGGTCTAAAACGACATACTCCATCTAAAAAAAGTATAAATTAAATGTCTGTAAAATTATAGTAATTCTGGATCACGAGCTAAGAATGGTAAAAAAATTAATGATGGCCTACGTATTTTTTCTAGAAACAACATCTATAAAAACGAAGGTTAGAGGAAACATCGGCAAAAATTATAATATTTGAGGGCTTCCGTTGCGTGCCCTACGAAAACAGTTCAAGAAACCAAAATATATGTATAAAATAATGCTTTTTCTTTAAATAATCTGAAAAAAAATTTGAGACAGTATGTCTTTGTTTTAAGATAATTTAATTACTACAAGATCCTTTTAGTAATTAAATTTGTTCGAAATGAATGCATTACATATTATTTCTTAGAGCTGTGTTAAATTGATAATATTAATCATGTATACAAAAAACGTATCAACTAGTATTAAGTTTTAAATGACGGATTGATCAATTTACCAGTTCTCAAACACAGACTTCAATTAAATGTACGAAGCGCTAAGTAGCTCTACTTGTCCATCAATAGTGGATTGTCTCAAACGTTCGAGTTGAGAGCTCGGCAAGGTAGCATCTAAGTTCCGTGGAATCTAACAGCAATTCGATGTTCTTGTCTCTAGTGAGAAGCAAACACCTAATGATTGAAGAGGGGTGGATGATAGATGTAACTTAAATGTCGTACGCACAGCGTCTGGACGAAGGATGCGATATATCATACAGACTCGTTCAGTCTTTCTGTTGTAGACGCATTTTAGCCAGTTATCCTTGTTCTGGGCATTGTTGTATCACGTTTCGCTTAAATGTCTGAGCGATTTCTACCAGAACCAGAAATATCGCTTACGGCGTTGTACACTGTTGTGAATCTGAGATGAAGTTTAAAAACAATAGTTTCGCAACGTCGGGCCGTAGTTTAAATAAATTAAAAGAATTATATATTATATTGAATATATTTCGTGATTTAAACCGTTAAAATTGTTTAATTTAAACAATAATTTCGCAATATTAATGCATAATCATAACTTAGTGTTTTTAACGAACATCTTTCCATTGAAAGTGTATATATATTGTTTTTTATATTTAAAAATTATGTTTAATATGCCGAATAATTTTAGTATAGTGTCGTTTAAGATAATATAGTAACTATTAAAACAAATACATATTACGAAAAAATAAATATAAATATTAAATGGTTGCCATGCCAACTGTGTAGAACATACCAAACGCGATCCGCACCAAGTGACCACTTGTAATTTGTTACAAGATCATTGCCTTAAGTTGTTTGATGTAGTAATGGCAGTTGTTCTTGTTGTAATTACTTGTAGTTTGTTTAGAAGCTTATTATTATAGCGCGCCCACTACATCCCCCGGGAGCCAAGGGTTGCGGCTCTCTTTATTAATTCACGGATTAGTATGTATTCCGAAGTATCTTCAGATAATGTCGATTAGTACAACTTATGAGTGTTGCATGTATGAAAACTGTGGGTTTATTATTTGCGGCGAGAAATAATCGTCAATTGAGCAAGTTATGGATTCAAACTTTCTTGTTGCAAATATAAATTACTTTAATAGTATTATTTAGTTGTCTACATTAACTTATATACGGTAAATAATACATTATTCTTATTTGAAAAATATGGATTATTATAATATATAATTTCAATTAATTTAGAAAAAAAAGATCGTCTGTCAGCAAAAAATAAACACTTAGGTTATAACTTAATGTGCCAGCGATACTCAAACTAACAATTATATTAAATGAATAAAAATTAATATGAATAGTACGGAGACATTATAAGTGATATTTTCCAAGTTTTTGAGAAAACGTTAGCTAGTAACAAATCATAAAACATTTTCCGCTTACGATCATAATATTATTAATATTAATAACAGTCTGGCATAGCAGATTTTGGTTCACGCCAAGATTAAGATTCGGAGACCGTATTTTGGCACCGATTCTAACTTCTTACGGTTGCATTAAAACAATATCCTTAGGAGTAACTAATAATATACAATCTCATATAGAATATTCACTAAGTTTATGTATGTAAATAAGATTTATATGAATTAATTATTTACATCAAAAGTTACGTAACGTGTATTTTACCAAGTCGTAGTAGTAATCCAACTGCAAATCTTTTTAAATTTTAAATTTAAACTTAGTAAATTTTCATTATTTTTGGACTAAAAATTGACTTGAAATAATATAAACATTAACGATTAGGGCGGGACTTAAACCGGCATCCACACCGTTCCGTGTTGTTTCTGTAAACGATTGAGCTACCGTGTCCTACACATCATTGTGGATTTTTTCAACTTATCGATATGAGGCTCTTGCGCAATTTATTTTTATTTAAAAATACTATACAAGAAACCTCTTGTATGAGTAATTAATAATTGCATAAGACATCCCAGTACAAATCATACCCGCCATAAATTAAATCTAGATTTATACTGATCTAGCTTAAACGTGGCTCAAAACTTCATTGAACGCTCCAGTGCGCTCAAACGTATCCACGATCACAGATAATTAATCGCTTTAACATATTTTAACTCGTATTAGAGTTGAGTTTAACTCGAGCACCTCTCACCTCAAACTTTCATACTTATGTAGTTTCAATACAGTTGTAAAGTTCCTCTATGGTAGCATTAATAACGAACCTCTGCCGAGGCAGACCAATAGCGTATATTAACTTTGAGCGTGTAGATTTACGATCAACCCTTTCATTAAACAGGTATTAAGCAGAGACGCCTATACGCACTCGTTTGTACGTCGGAACCTGGGACTTTGCAAAAGCTTACGAGCCAGTGTAATTTCAAACCTTAACTTTATAAAGGTATCTTAATGCGGAACAATGGTTTTATTATTCGGCATCGTCATGTTTATGTCAATGCAATATAATAAGGACTTTAGAAATTTCCATTACACTATTCGTTATAACGTACACCAAAGTTATTTGAAATTTCGCAAAACAATTTTAAACGTTTAACTCGATTGTAGTTCTTTAAGCGTAATTTCTATATTAAACTGTGACGTTGTTAAACAGTTAAATATTTAATTAAATCCCAGTTTTCACACAATGCGATTATTCGTGTACAATGTTGATCCCTGAAAATTGTCTTATTAAGGCGTCGATTTATGCCCGTGTTATGTACGGTAGACGAGATCCGTTTTGTTTTAGTTACAAAGAATCGATTTTAAAGCTCGCTGGATTGAAAATTATATGAAGAGCCTTAGAGAGGTGCGGGCGTGTTCGGGTGCCGCCAATGCGCTTGTCTTTCGGTTCAGTGGGCTTTCTTTAAATTGGCGACGGCTCCGCTAGCCGCACGCCCGCCCCGCTTATTGCGCCGCCCGCCTAGAGCGTCTCTGCCGTCCACAATATTGCCTTCGTTCCACTTTTAAGCAAACAGAAATTCCCAGTCCGTAAATGGGATAGCGTTATAAGTAAATCTTTGTCGTGTCCTTCGTTTACGGGGAAAATAAATTCAATTTTTTACCGAAACTGTTGTATTGATGGCTACTAAAATAAATTTAACGGTGTATGTTCAAATATCTGTACCGCTTCCATAGCTTAATGTTTAAAAGGGTAATCTTTGTGTTAAGCGCGAGAGATCCCATAAAACAATAAGTTGTTTTGGTCGGGCAGGGCGCAGAAGCTCAAAGCCTTTGACACTACAGTTTCGTTAAAAAATTTATCCGCCCCACACGAGGAAACGGAATTTCACTTAACGTTTTAATCGAGTTCTTACAACTGATATATTATACAGTGCTTAATTAATTGAAACATACTTCGGCTAATTACAAGTTATACATAAGAATATATATAGGTACCTACAAATTAACCATGACACAACAAATGGACATTATATTCCATATTAAATAATTATTTTAAACAAGCATTACAAAGATATTCGTAGTGTAGTACGCTCTATGGCACGTAGTCTGTTATAGTTTTATAAACTTATCATCGATCGCTTCTCCAAATCGACTTTCATGATCCCGACGGGTACTATAAAGCAAGTGGATAGAAGTTTGCGTACCTATTTGCGTGATGGAAAGTAATCTTTGAACGTTTGTCAAAAGGTAGTCTCATTTCGGCAAAGCATTCTTTATACTCATGTTTCGGTCGAGGTCAACGAAGCGAGTATATTATAAATTATTTGTATTCAAACGTTAATAAGTTTGCGTGACGGTACATCATGGAATCTTTCATATTATAACGTCGTAATATTTCCAGTACACGTTGGTTTTGTTGGATTTATCGTTGTTTTTGTTAACTTACTTGTCAAAATCGTTAAATATAGGAAGGACGTTAGACATTCTACCTTACCGTAACGTTATTGTACTCTTCTTGTAACATTTTTGAAATCGTCTAAAACATAACAATAAAACACTTTATTGCACAAACAAATAGATATAAAGAGTAACTATATTACTAATTTATATTAAGTTAGCACTGGCCGCCTTATCGCCTATGGCTATTTTTCCAGGCAACGGTTTTTTTCAGAGAAGAGAAACTAAGAAATAAAGAGTAAAAGTCAACAAAAGCATTTAATTACTTATATACACTGAAACAATATCAAGTTAAATATAATTTACTCAAATATAATTATTAGAATTACTCAAAGTTACAAAGAAAGTGAATCCGTCAATAAATATTACATGTTCTTTTAGGTCACATTATAATTTCGCAGAAGTACTAAACGTATTTCAAATTTAATTTCTCTAATTCCTTGCTACCCGATAACCTATAGAAGCATAATAAAATGTTAAGGACATTTTGCTCAGTTCACTGGTAAGTGCTTATTTAAACGATCTGATTTCAGAGCGCATAGGAAATAGCCGCAAGATTTTAAATGCAAAATTGAAATTGAGTTTCTCATAGTTCGTGCAACTTTCACAGAATTTCCCTTGTTATAACATTTGTACTGATTTTAATGATTAAAACTTCATTCTTTTCTTATTTCGAGTGATATTATTATACTGTTTTATTCAGTAACTAGATTGCAGATATTGAATTTATTACACATTTTTAACTTATCTCTTAAGACTTGTCAGTAAACCTCTGAAATATTATTTTAAAGATCGATTATAACTTCTCTAATACTAAATACTGCAGCCGGTAACGGAGGCATTGATGGGACGACGTGTGAATATACGTAACACAAAGTCCATCAATTTAGCTACCTTCCTACCCACACAACTACCTAGTTGCCAAGACCAAGACTTGTATAGTAATCTTTTCAAATAATGCGCGGAAGTTCAAACTAATCAGTAAAAACGATTGTTCCGTATTTAAATTGCACAACAGATATGATTTTTTACGTTGTTATTAACTTATTTGGCCGCTAAACGCGACTAATATCAACTTTCATATTATTTTTAAAATTATGATGCTTATAGTTTTTTTAATAATGTTTCCAAGTGACTAAGAATTCCGTTTTTAAAATTAATGCTAGTTTTACAAGACTATCTTCGTGCATGTGACATTGTAGGTCATACGCTTAAATTCGAGTTAAAATCAAATCTGGCGCCGAGGAGGGTGCGAGGCGTCATTATAAATGCATCTAATAGCTTGCTCGAGTGACAGAGGCAAAGGAGAGTTAAGGCGAATCGCTTGAACGTCATATCAATCACTATTGCCGCGAACCAGCACGTTCCCTTGAGACTTGGCCTGGATTCGAAATTACTCAAATTTTCGCAGCGCGTCTAAATGCCAGCGGTGGCCAGGGATTAGGCTACCCAGAGCAGATTACAACGAATCGAAACTTCAATACCACGCCTAACTACCCACTCGATTTTTCCATTCCATTTACTGACCCCCGAACGAACGCGCCGCACAAATGGAACCATTAATAAATCCCTAATAGTCAAGTTAATAAGTAGAAAAGTTTGAATAAGCTCGTCTCAGATCGTCAATGTTTGAGCCATCAAAAGCAACCGACTACTTTGCTGAAGTAACAGCTAAGTAGGATTTGTGTTAGACTCACGCTTCTTGAAAAGGATTATAGAAACATCATAATATTGACATCACATTTCGCCGAACGTAATTAGACACAGTGAAGGAGTGGTTCTTTGATGAAATTAATTTATTATGTCTTAGTTTGTTGTGGCAGAACATATAATTAATTTGGGCTTTCGCGACGTGATTCTGAAATATAACATTTTCTTAATATGAAATTTTGAAGCTTTTTGACAGTAACGTGGCGAACTTTACACTTTTTTAATGACAAACGAGGAAATATTATCTTCTACATTCTACATTAAAATCACTTTTTAAGTGATAAAATATATATGTGTATATTTGGGGGTATAACATCATAACCAAATGGGTTGTCGACCTATTTTCAGTCGGGAAATACGGAAATCCACAGACTGAAATAGAAACGCGATTAAACCTCGCGGCTTTTTAATCTGTGGGCGGTATTGTCGGTATTCCTACCTATTCCACAGATTTCTAGATGCAGTCCAACTTGTTTTACAAAAAAAAATTTTGAAACACGAAGACCCAGTGGCGAAAACACTACCCGTTGATTATTGCGATTCAAATCAATTTTAGTTACGTAAAATGTTAATGGCAAAATAAATAATTGATTATGGCTGGCCGGGTCTTAACACGAGCGACTAATCTGGATTATTTTTGCAAGTTCCCTCTTAATCGCCCTCTTGCAGAACACGCGTAAATACCCTTTCATTTAAATAACTCCCGCCGCGACTCTTGATACAGGCTTGCCCCTAATTCCAACTTAATTAGTGTCACGCAAGTTCCTTAATCCTAGGCTTGAGGATCGTACGGCCGTTCTTAAAATGGAGATTAGTACGGCGAATATCTCGAACTACGATATCCGACACTTATAAAGCCACTATTAAACCATTTACCAGCTGTAATCCAGCGATCATTATTCAAATCTAAGCTTCGGAATATCCTCTTTCTAATGTTTTTGAATATTATCAGAACCGGTGGAGTGCAAAAGCTTTAACTGTACTAAATTACTTAAATAAATGATAAATAGTCTGCAGATTACCCGAGTGAATACTAAAAAAAATTATCGGTTTAAAACTAAATATCGATTTTTTTTTAACTACAACTGCATATAACACTGAATAGTTTTTGTAAACGTTAATACTTTTCACATGTTATTGCATATGATGGCACTAATGAAAACATGGTAGCTCAGTTGTTTAGAGCAACAGCACGGACGCTATCAAGTCCTACCCGTGCGTATTTCTTTTTTCAATTTATAATGGATTTTTAAGTTTAGTGTTATATTTCAATGCATATATTTATTTATTTATTTATTTATTATAAAGACAATTAAAACGGCGATAGCCACTTACATTAATTGGATAGAAGTACACAATAGAATTACACTTAAAAATAGAGTATGCATCAATTACATTAGGACAAAATTTAAAAATCAGACAATTCTCTCAGTATTGATGACCAGTGATCTGCGAAAAGATCACATTTGGGTCTTAACTTGAGGAGAGCGTTGAGCGAGGTTAAAATTCGTGGTATCGGCGAAAACGCGCGAGCAGAGGTGCGACCTCTCGGGACGTCAAAGAGATCGTGTCTTCTAGCGCGGCCATAGTTGTTCGGTACAAACAGTCGACAGAAGGCTTCCCTCAAATAAGTATCATCGATTTGGTTTCGAAACAACTTACAAGCTACAACTAATTGCCCACGAGATCTGCGACTTTCAAGAGAATTAAAGCCAAGCTGTCCTAATAAAAACAAGGTCGGATACAAGTAGGGGTAAAAACCGTATTGGTGTTTGTAAAGAAACCGCAGAAAGGCTTTTTGGATCTTCTCAAGCATGAGTATATATTTTCCCTCGTGAGGGTTCCACACGGACGAACTCGATTCCATCTTACTGCGGACAAGACACATATATACAAGGCATATCGCATGCCTATTGCGAAAGTCGCGAACATTGCGCAGGACAAATCCAAGGCGTCGAAATGATTCCTTGGACAGTTCGACTATATGATCGTGAAAGGTCAATTTGCTATCAAATGTAACGCCTAAATCATTAACAAGGGATTTCCTTGCTATCGACGAACCATTAATTTGATAATCGTATATATATGGATGAAATCTTCGACTAAAAGTCATCACTTGACATTTGGATAAATTAAAAATAAGCTTATTATCGATGCTCCACTGTTCAATGGCATTAATATCATTTTGAATAGCAAGGCAGTCGTCATACGATTTAACTTCTGCAAAAATTTTTAAATCGTCAGCATACAAAAGACACCTTGTATGCGGCAAAACTGATGGAAGATCATTCACCATGATAAGAAACAACAAAGGACCTAATATTGATCCTTGACTAACTCCGGATCGCGTGAAATAGGGCTTAGAATCATAAGACCCAAGTCTGACAAATTGCTGGCGATCACGAAGGTAATCTGCAAAAAATTTTATTAGAGTTGTGCTAAAACCTATAGCGCTGAGCTTACTGAGAAGTATATCGTTGTCCACACGATCAAATGCCTTTTGTAAATCGAAATACAGCACGTCGACCTGAAGACCATGATCTAACCCAACCGAGATAAATTCCACAAGTGTCAAAAGGTTTGTCTCTACTGACTTTTTCCTTCTAAAACCGTGTTGTTCATCACATAAATACTTGTTAACCTGGGCGTATATATATTTATGTAAAATACTTTCGAATAGTTTAGCTGGTGACGAGGAAATAGCAACAGGTCGGTACTCCTCCACCATTGCTTTATTGGAGCTTTTAGGAATGGGAGTAACCCTTGAAAGTTTCCATCTTGAAGGATAGATTCCGGACGTCAGAGAAACATTAAAAATATGATGTAGTGGAACAGAGAAGACATCTCTATATATTTTAATGAAATCTGGCGGGATACCATCAGGCCCAATGGAACTGTTAGATTTCAATTGTTTAATACCAGAAATGACGTCATTTAAAGTTAGACCAACAATATCAATACTATCGTTAAGACAAGTGCCATCGCTGTTATTACAGTTCTCAAAATCCAACAGAGGCGGATCAAATAAAAACACATTGCTAAAGAAAGAAGCAAATGCACCAGCCGCTTCTCGCCCCGAGTAGATCAAGCCACGGTATGAGACTTGCGGTTCAAAACCCCCCTTAGAGCGTAAGCTCGATATATGCAACCAGAACTTCTTTGGATTCAATTTAAGGTCTTCTTCAATTACTCCTAAATGATTTAAGTAAGCTTGATCAATACGAGTTTTTAATTCTGATCGAAGCTGAGAAAAAACAATGTAAGCCTCGTTGGATTTCAAGCGTTTCCAGGATGCATGCAACTTAACCTTCCGTCTTAAATCTCTGATGATGTCATTTGTAAACCACACCGGATAACGATGACATTTGGATCTCCGATGTTTTTTGGGTACACAAAGATCGAAGATGTCGTAAAGTGTAGAATAGAAATGTTCGCAAGCCTTATCAACGTCACTCGCTTGCAATACATTAGTCCAAGAAGCTTGACTGAGATAACGTTGTAATTGTTGAAAGTCACATTTCTTAAAGTTCCAATCTTTTGCAGAATCTATATTACTAGGTGCAATAGAATCGGAATGACGTACGAAATTAAACAAAATCTCTATATTTAATGGCGGATGGTAGAAATCAGGTGGAACTAGGCCCGCCGTACCCATAACGGTTATTCCTCGCACCTCATCGCTCTCCCGTGTAAGAATTACATCTAAAAATCTTCCATGACAGTTAGGTACAGTATTATGTTCTAAAATATTACAAAATGATAAAAAATAACAATAATAGTTCTTTACATTTGAAGATGCACTATTTAAATTTAAGTCACCTAGAATAATAACGGTAAATGCTTTGAGACTATGGATGAAACTCTCGACTTTACAGAACCATGCCATATATTCGCTATCACCCGCAGACGGCTTTATATACACTACGCAAACAAAAATCTTTCGGCCAAGCCACACAAAACTAGCCCAAAGATCTTCGCCCGCGTCGGTCTGAAGTTCTTTACAATGTTTCAAAAGAATAGGGGCACGAGCAGCGATTAAAACGCCACCACATGGAGTTTTCCTATCGCGGCGTAAGACACTCCATCCCACACAGATCAATTCTTGGTCTTCAACGGAGCCATCCAAAAAACTCTCGGTAACCGCTATCAAGTGGTTGTCAAGCGCGGCAATACTATTTCTCCAACTGGTGAGCTTAGTTTTTAGGCCACGAACATTTTGATATAATATATCTAGTGACTTAATTTTCCTCATTGGTTGCGGCACGAAAGGGCTGGTTAGTTTGCCCAGAATGCGCAGTCAGTGGCCTTCTGCGGCGAACACTCCATATTTTAATTTTTGAGTTTACGGGCCAAACTTCACTTGACAGGCAAACATCTAGACAGGCCGTGGGTATACCTATTTTATAAGATTTATAGTCACCTCTCGATTTAAGCTCTTCCACAGTACAGTTTTTTCCTGGACACAATTGGTTTAGATATTGACGTATGTCATCAACATTCGATTCCATATTCCACAAATGCAAATGTTTGCGAGGTTCAACCGCTTTTAGAAATGTAACGCTAGGTCCTGCGGTACCCTCTAATAGTGGATTATGTCGGGATTTAATTTGAGTGTTGCTGGATGAGTTTTGTTGAGGATTTTCGGAACAGGTATTAATATATATTATTTTCTCAAAATGTTTATTTACATGAGGTTATGTTTTAATGTTTCATGTTTAAAATTAAAAAACAATGAAAAGTTATATTCGCTTTTCCATCAGCATTTAAGTTAATATTGTACTAGATACTTTAACGTCAAGGAGACGTCTAGGAAAACCAACAAAATATAGGTGCAATATTTCTCCATCGCGATATGTCGTCACGAAGACTAGACGACAGCAAGGAATTCTAAAAGAACTGAACATAGAGTATTTTGTGTACGGAACTCCTTCCGTGGCCGCTTACAACGGATGTGCAGGAAAACGCCTGCATAGTAAACAGTCGTACCTAAAAGACACTGCGGAATACTTAGTTTGGACTACACGAAACTTACCCAAATATTTATGTTCTACTTTTGTTTTATGTTCCGGGGCTGTGGTTAAACGCAGTGCTATACCTACCATCAAATCTGACAAAGCCCAGGTTGATTTCGGGGAGAACAAAATAATGTAACAATAGTGTTCTTCGTGTAGAGATAATTAACAATCTATAGAAACTGTCCGTAGTTTACGCGAGTAGTACACATTCAAATAAAACACTTTTACAGTTTAAAACGCGATATATATTAGTTAAACTTATTTAGAATTCCCCAAACCGTCTCCACGCGACCTGCTACAAAGCATCCGAAACGTCGAGCCGTAGTTAAAATGGTTTTCAAATAAGTTTAATTAATATATATCGCGTTTTAAACCGTCAATTTAAAAAGTTCATAATATAAAAGTTATACACAAGTTTATAATATAACGTTATTTTGATGTGTAAACATCAACAACATCACAACTCAAAAATTGTATTCAGTGCGTAGTACCTAAGATTATTCTATTTTAGGTTTTGCCTCATTATAAGTACTTGCTTACACGTGCTAGCGATTGACAGGTCACGGAAAAATATTTCCAGAGCGTCCTGCAGATCTGTCAACAAATTTGTGCCGTCGTGGCAATTTAGTAGTTTATTTTTACACATCAAACATTATCGGCGACGCGTTACATAAAGAACATCGAAGTGCGTAACACTATTTTATAGCGCCAATCGATCGGATACAAAATAATATATCGGATCGAATATGTTTCGCGCTCGGCGCGTCCCAAAATAGACCTTCATCAAAGACAAGCAGGTTTGCAGCTGTAAATCCATTTCAGTGTGGCTTGTCCGTATTATAAATTGTACTACGTAACGTGCATAAGAATTAAATCTCAAAGGGACTAACTTAAGCGAACGCTGCTTGTGTTAGTTATTTGAAAACATTTTAACAATAATATTAAGCAATTTACACGAGTAGTGTACATTTAAATAAAACTTTTTTAACGGCTTAAATCGCGAAATGTATTAATGAATCCTATTTACCAATTATTTTAAATTTGGCCCGATGTTTCAAATGCTGTGCATCAACCGTGGTCACGGGGAGACAGGATTTAAGTAGTGATATTATTTAATCTATTTTTGCTATTTCAACAGTAATTTCAATAATTCTTGGGCTAGTCTGTCTACTTTTTATGTAGTTTGCGTAATCGCTTTCTCATAAAATAATTCTATAATAACAAGCAAGCAAGCTCGCCATTGTTTTATGCGTCGTATTCTATAAGAGAAGTTGAAGCTTCGAGAGAATTTTTAATAAAGTCCACTTTGCACGATGAAAATATAATAATTATTTTTAATGTCATCCCGCTACTTGCGTATGATAATTCGAGGCAGATTGCATTTGATGAAACCGGCGCGCACCGCTAAGCACTCTAGACGACCGCACTGCATAGATTTGCATTTTAGCGTTTTTGATACGTGAGCGAATATTCAGCGCGGTGTCGGTAGGTATCTTTTGAATTCGACGCGGCGGGAGCCGAGTGCCCGCTCGAGGGCGCTCGACTCGCGGCGCGTGCTCGAGTGCCCTGCCCGATGCGCCTGCGCAGAGCCACCCCGCCTACGGGGAGGCGAACTCACCAGAAGGTTATTACAATTAACTGCAACCCCGACTTAAGCCTCAATTTGGCACTAGCTGCAGATTTATCCAACACGGTGCGCTTTTTACAAACAATTTTTGTTTTAACTTTTATTTTTCGCTGTAAAATGTAGTTTTATTATAAAAAAGTAATTTATTTAATTACACACTTTACGACGCTTCGGGTTGGCTCGTATGGCGCGCGGTGGAGAAATGATTAAGTCGTAATGCATTACTGCAGGCAAGCGTTATCAAAATGGGCAACTATTAAAATAAAAATTTTAATTAAACATATTGTTGAAAGAATTAAAGATGATACTTATACGAGGTACTTCAAAAACGGAAGTTAATACATTTATATTTATAACATTAGTGCCGTATCGGCCAGTGAAACGTCATTCCAAGCGTCAAAGTCAAACAATTTATGTCTGGACGCTACTCGTAAAATCAACTATCTTTAGTATATATAATTTAATATATGAAACATAATAATAAAAAATACATTATTTACTTCGATCCGTGATACTGGGTTTATGTATGGTAAATATTAATGTATACTTACACATTTATATCAACATAGGAATAGCCTTGACAAATACCATCGAATAAAATAAAGGTTGCATACACAATGATCCAATAAAACTTTGCTTAAACTTGATACGAATAGGTGCAAGAATTTAAAATGTAAAACAAGAGTAGCATCGTCGCAGTCAGCTCCTTCTATCAAAACTGTTTAACATAACTTTTATCCTTGAGTTTTACCTCTATTTCCTTTGTGCTTACAGATATTGTTCCAAACAATGTACTTACTTAAAGTTAAATAATGATAAGCGTATTTATTTTAAATTGAATGATGCAATATTTACGTATTAAATTATTCCTTGTCGAAAGTCACTTTAAATGAATACGGCAAAATTATTATGCGTACAACTCGATTTATTAAAATTTATTATCTTATAAGTATTATACAAAATAAAACTTAATTAAATTAAATAAATTCTAATGCCTTCACAACAACTACGATACCTTTCTATTGAAATACCGTAAAATAACAGAGAAAACAAAACATAGTATAATAATTTAGTCTCGCCTTTAAAACTAATAATATTATAAGTTAAAGGATCTAAAAAACGAAGCAGCCAAAGTCTTGTTGATTGAACAGCGTAAAAAGGAGTAGAAAAATTAAAAGTGCCGTAAAGACGACTATTTAAGACGGGCAGCGCTTTCGTATGATTTGCCATTATTAAATTTCACAAGAGATTACGATCCCGTTATGTTGAAAAATAACGTTCTATTCCATTCACCAAGCTCGTTTTAGAAGAACGCTTAAATTTATTGGCTTTGGTCTTCCCTCGCTATGAAAGTATAAAACTTTTACGGAAAACACAATTTACTACAAATTTGCTGGCCTGTATCGCAATAATGTGACGCCCACGGAATTTATTGAAATAATATTTACAGATAAGAAAGGTATATACGTCCGTACATATAAAATACTTATCCGATCTATAACTGATCACTGAATCAGCGTGCAGCCTAAATCACTGAATGTTGAAATTTGGAGTGTGATTTTTGTACATTTCAAATTCAAATTGAAAATTTCTATTATAATTTCAATTACTACTAATAATTAATGCTAATACGTGTTTGATATTTAATAAGAAACAAGGGAGTGGTGGATTTAATCCACGCAGTTAACCATTTCGTATATTTATAATTCCTCACAGCGTCTTTGCTAATGCTCTGTCAAGGCTTAAAAATAACACCGCTGATATGAATCCCTCAAAACAATATCGCGTCGTGTTTTTCTCTCGCATTAATTATTCAATTCACTCATATTATCCTACAGTGGCACTTTCTACGTGTCTAATTTGTAATTCTATTTGCCATTCATCTGTGTAAAAGAGGTAATTAACTAAATTCTATCCTCTGTTGGAGCCGTAAGGTTTTTAGAAAATGATACCTTTTGTATAATTAAACTGCGAACCCAGTTTTAGTTTAATCCTGTAGCCTCTTGACACTGCTCTGCCACCCAAAGGGGAGATTATTTTGTACGTCAACACTATCGACCGAAGCGGAGACGAAATCAACCCACGTTACGTTGTGTGGTACACGAAATTGAACTATTGGTCATATGAAACACGGGTTACATTGCCCTATCGCTTGGGCAACTTGCTATTTTCTTTGGGGTTGAAAAAATACGTACGGTTACGAGAGTTCAGTCAGATAGTAATCATTCAAAGGGATTGTATGTTTTTGAGTTCGAGATTTGCTTATTGTGGTGTTTGACATAATATATAGTTGCGGATCAATCATGTTTGTTTTGTGATTTGTAACAATAGTTTATACATAGTTTGGTGACGTTAAACTTAGTTAAATATTTAATATAAGGTAAGCAAATAACCTTCAATAATTTGTTGTTAATCTAAATTTTTGATTGAAGGTAAACAGTTAAAATTAAACACATTCTCACATATTAAAAGTTGATGACAAATACTACATACAACATAATTCTTTTTTTATATTGAGGAGGACATACATACATAGGTTTCACTTGACGGTAGGTGAAGGCCATATAACATAGAAACAAGATGCGTTGTTGGCCTATTTTAGCTTGCGATATATCATAATACCAATTTTGTTAAATTATCGATCGACATGTGTTTTGAAAAGGTTATACGCGATTGTGGAGGCCCTTGACGTAATACCCTGGTTACCCAACAACATTTAAGCCCTTATTATGAATTCTCGACATTTGCTTAATGTATGAAAATTTGAAAGAACGAGCCATGTTGATGGTACTCGAAACAAAATAATTGCCACGGTCGCGCGATCCCGGTTTTGGACTTCGCATTCATTATTCACTTTTTATTTCACCCTCCTCTCGGCTTATAATTTGACTTGAAACATAAAATCAAGTTTTATTTGATTATATCTCGAATAAATATTGTGAAATATCTGTTTTGAGTCGCTATAAATGTGAGAAATACTTTTGTAAACTCAAACAAACTTAGAATAAACTCATCAGAAAAAGCAAAATTTAAATAATTAATTTTACAATTTCTTTTTATAAAATTATCGTCATTGCGAACTGAACGATAAAATTGCTTATAAACAATTAAGTTATTAACTTATTTAAACATTATTTTACCTACCGCCCAACGTTTCAGATCGTTTGCAGCAGCCGTGGTCATATATTTCGTTTTAAACCGTTAAAGTGTGTTATTCAAATGTGTACTCGTGTAAACTACAGACAGTATTTAATACTGTTGATTTAATTTACTTCTAGAACAATCAATGCAGATAGATAGAAACAATAGCAGTCGCCTTATTACAAGAATACATAGCTTTTCCAAAGCGGGCAATATATTGCAGGCGTACGCTTTCAACAACTCTCAAGGCGCGTCGGTATAAAAGAAAATACATATATACAACACGAATGCAGCCCTTGAATATATACCGTCACTTATATGTACGTGTTTCGAATGGCTTTCGATGACAAGTGCGCGAAACCATTTCTCTTTTTAGACGACTAAATGCGTCTATTGTTTCGCCTACGCTTATGAGCGTTTCTGGAGTGGCACACTCACATCTGGGCATTTTTTCTCGGCTAAGTAATTATTATGAAAGCCCTCGTAATTTTAACACGATTTTGTTCTATTTTTAACCGGTTTAAAACGAAAATTATGACCCGAAATACTTTTCGAAAATTCTTGTTACCGCGGCGACCACCATATATATGTCAAAACCAGTTTCTATGGAATTTAAACGGTCTCCATGACACAGTGGATAAAATTAATAAGAAAAGAACGCGTTTAAATAAACCCCTATTGACGGTTTGCATTTCGAAAAATCGTGGTCACGGGGAGAGGTCTGGTTTACATCGGGACGTAGTTGAAATAATTTGTAAAGTTCAATAACATTTCGTGTTTTAGACCGTTAAAAGTGATTTATTTTAATGTGTACTCCTCGCGTTGACAGTGTTTAGAGATCGTGGGTTCAAAAACACAATGAATCGCTTCAGTTGGAATTGACACAGGTCTAACTTCTTGCCTGCAAATGAAAACTTGTTAGTGAAAAAGACGCGAAATTTTACTCGCCCCATATAAGGGGGATTGCAGACGCATTACTCATTATAATGTAAAACTTGTAAATGAAATAACCTACTTAAATAGATAAAGACATATTTAAGCTTGATGTATCTTAAGAATTTGAAAGAAGCGATCTTTTGTTCGCTCGTCAAAGCCTTGAAATGAATATAAAAGGGAGAGAGTACATAAGCTACTTCATACCCATTTCTTACATTGAAACGATGACTTCTTTCAATTTTTCATAGCCTTATGCGCATCGATCCACAGTTATTTATTCAACTCACGGTGTAATTCTCAGAAGTAAATTTACATGCATGCCTTTTTTGTATTTACTTGTTTATGTTCACTTTATCGGATATTGAATGAAAACATAACCTATGAATTTTTGTTTACTTTTCACGTTTAAGTGTTCAATCTACAATAAAATGAAATAACTTCCGGCGAGTTGTTTCATTGTGATCGCTATCCTTTTGCTTTCATTAACGCAGAGATAAAATATAAGGTTATGGCTTTCTAATAAAGGACATTAGACAAATAACTATTATGGGATACTAATGTTCGAAACTATGATATTTTTATGATGGCTTTATATAAATTAAAAATCGATAAAAAAAATAAGACACGGTCTGGACTTGAACCGGCATCTACAGCACTCTCTAAAAGCGATTTTCTATTTACTAATATTTATTATAGTATATGTCTGAGATGATTCTAATTAATAAAAATGCGGATGTATCGAACTAAAGATATAGATATTTCACATCGATTTTGTTTTAAAATAAACATCGCAACAAGCGCGGGTTATTCTCGGGATTAGACAGTCTAAGAATCGGCAGACAGAACATGATAAAGATTAATTCCGTGCAAGTGTCTTCGGAGCCGCGAAGCAATAATGTAACATTAATGTTTGCCATTTAGAACTGACGTTACAGTCTCGCGTCGGCCGACATCTTTCTCACTTCCTATTATTTTAAGTCCCGACTCTCGTAGTCCCCTTGAACTAACGACACCGCCGAGCTAAGTCCTGGTATCCCCATTTGCCATCCATTCGGTTTGTATTGTTACAAATGGCTCAGATCTGTTGGCAGAGCCCGTGCGAGACCTAATGAGCTGTGAGAGATAAGGTGTGCCACACGAGAAGA